TTAAATAATCACATAGTGTAATAAATATATACTATGTGCTGTAAGTATATTGTATAAGTATAGGATGCAGTATATAAACACAAATAATTAGTTAAGAAAATCTACAAATTGTGTTATAAGTAGCATACAATTATATAATTATATACTTATATAAGATGCACATATATAAAGATATTTTATAAGTATTGAACGATATAGAATATGTAAAAGATTAATATATTAATAATAAACCCACTATGAAATTTTATAATTTTTAAATTTTGCAGAAAATGAAAAATATTTTTTACTGGAAATAGCTTGTGCAGAACACGTTCTGTATAACACTTTCCACAGTAATCACTTCCATAAAAAGATATTGAACTTTGTTACTACTTCTTTGTGTGACCTCTAAACCTCAGTGAAAACCCATTGTGATGAGAGCAAGCTGTGATGGTGTCATCTACCAAGACTTCCCAAAGTAGCTTTCTGGGCCAGAAGTGGAGTGGAGGCCCAGTTCTTACTGAAGTGGTCTGTTACCACATTTTAATTATGACACGTTTTCATATGGTGCCATGGAATTTTGACTAAAATGGGATGTGTAGTCCTCTTGAGCTATACCATTTTATTTTGGTTCTGGTTGTTCTTTACCACGTGTGTCTTTCCACAGTGCTCCAGTGCATCAAAACTGATGCAGTCCCATGGAATAGGCACTCAAGTATTGTTGACTGCTACAGAATTTAGTTACCTCTGTCCAGCTCTTATTAATCAGATCGATGGCAAATACTGCATAGTCCATGCAACCAGTGAAAAAGCTGAAACTCCTCCAAAGAGTTACTCTCTGCAAATAGGTAGGTGATTTTTCTTTTTAACATGGATTAAAAGCTTACTGGAAACCCTTTTATGTTGGTGATTAATTTGAGAAACATATTTCAAAGTTGAAAGAAGTTCATAGTTTTCTTTTGGCACTTGACCATGTCTAGAGAGAGATCTTTGTGGTGCACCCTTTGTTAACATTCAATTAATAAAATCATCAAGAGTGTTAAGCAAGCAAAATCTCATACAGCTGTTATATATTCTTGTTTGTTTCTTGTCTTTTTTTTTTTTCCCCCCAGCTTGGATTGGTGGCTTTATATCCATCTCTGTCATCAGTTTTCTTTCCTTATTGGGTGTTATATTGGTACCTCTGATGAATCGTGTGTTTTTCAAGTTTCTTCTAAGTTTTCTTGTGGCATTGGCTGTGGGGACCTTGAGTGGTGATGCTTTCTTACATCTCCTTCCACATGTAAGTATCAACTGCTGTTTCATTTGTTATCTCAAAGCCGAGGATTTGACAACTGTCTGTGCTTGTTAATGATAATTTTAGTCTCTATTAATACCTATTTGAGACATTTCTTAACCTTGTGGTGTAGATTATTTGATGGAAAAGGTTTGCATTTGGAACTGTTTGTGTTACTCGTTTCACGGTCCTTACAGTGTAAGATCTTCACCCCGTTGTCCTTCAGTCTGTTTCCTGTTAGTCACATATGGTGCCAGATCACTCATTGTTTCTTGCATGCCAGAGTTTATATAAATAAATGTTTTTAGTTAGTTATTACAATGCACCCCTATTTTCTTTTTCCAGTTTAATGAACTTTTTGGATAGCAGAAATCGGTCACTGTACACTTTAAACATGGAATAGATAATCCACTGTTTTCTGCTATCAGCCACTTCTGTTGAATTTTTTTGATCAGAATTTCCCAAGTCCTGGGAAAACATTACTTGATAGATTTTGGAGTTATGTATTGCTGTTATGTAATATGTACAATAACATTGGAATGTGATTGCTAGATTTATACATTTCTTGGAAGTTCTTAAACAGACATTTACCCTGCCCTCTCCTTTCTTCTCCCTTAACTCCCCCAGGTAACTTGTTCCAGCTTTCAGGTACAATGGGGAAAAAAAAACACTGCAGATCTTGGGGTGGTTTCTGAGCCCTGCCTGTAATTCATTAGATTGTTCTGTATTCTTTCTCTATGAGATTATGTAAATCTAGACATGTGTGAGTGAGGTGTCCTAGAAGCTTTTGGTTCTGAACGTATCAGTAGCTAGTGAGGAGGGAGAAGAATGTCAGACTTCCTTTAAAGAAGGAAATTACTGCTAAGTTCCTCATAGAAAAAGGTGTTTGATGTCTGTGTGCTGGCTGTGACTACTTAAAATGGAGAGTCCTTCATGGTGTAAGGAGTTTCTGTGGGGGCAGACGTACAGCTTGTATTGAGCAGTGCGTGTGTGTAGATTCAGTGAGGGGGTGAACGCCAGGCCTACTCTCAGTCCTTGCAATGTTTCTTCTTATCTACAGATTTTTGTAATTGTTTGAATTGGTGTCCAGAGCATTTGCCCCAGGAAAATTGTCGAGCCTGTACTCCAGACTTGGGGAAAAGGATCTGAAGAATACTTCCCATGTTTGTTATGCTACTAGTTCTTTTGAATATGATGACTTTCCCCATTTGGTTCTCCCCTTAGTCTCATGGAAACCATCACCATCACCACGAGAAACCTCTGCTGGAACAGAACAAAGGCTCTACGTTCAAACCTCTTGTTTTTCAAAGTGTAGAGGAGAATGCTTACCTGGATTCTACATGGAAGGGACTTACAGCACTTGGGGGCTTGTATTTCATGTTTCTAGTGGAGCATTTGATCACTTTAATAAAGCAGTTTAAAGACAAGAAGAAAAAGGTAAAAAAGTCATTTTGAAGCTAATTTGTGTTACATGATTGTTCCTGCATACACGTACAAAAAAAAAGTATGAATGTCACGTATGTCTAGGGCCAGTGCTGACTGCTGGCTGGATTACTGTTATAATTTTTTCTATGTGTAATGACGTGTATGGTCTTAAACTACATGGTAACTTTTTTTATGTGGCCTTGTTGTGGAAGAGCTCAGAGTTATTTTCTTATCCAGACACAGTAAAAGCTGGTGACATGATAAGCATTGCTTGAAGAAAGTTTGTAAAATACTAATTACTTAGCTTAAAAATGGCTAATTTCTAGGCAACCACAATGACTGACGATCTGTTTAGTTTTATGGTTAAATTGGTCATGAAGGCAGCAGCCTCAGTGCAGATGCCATGTGAGCTCCTTGACTTCGGTCACAGGAAGGTGTGTTGGTGTGTTTTACACTGAAGCTAAACTACCTGAGCAACAGG